GTTCATTGCGACACATATAGAAGAAAAGGTATGAAATGAGAAAAAGATTCATCACAGAGATGTATTTGACCAGTTTTAATTATTTCAAGTGCAGACATAATTGAAACCTCTCAAATGCATCTCAATTATATCATATATTTTAGACAGATATAATCAAAACCTCTCAAATATATCTCTTCCACTGTGAAGATATTAAATTTTATTCATACCTTTTCAGATTATATATTATAATCTGGCAGATACTAGTTCCTATTAGCATTGAAAAGTCAAGATGGATTTGTATTGGTTGTATAAAGGCCTATCCGCACAAGGGGGCATGGTCAGCAGACACTTTGACGGGTAACTGTAAAATTGACATCACTGGTGAGAAAACAGTGAGGAAACTGCTTGTTTACCTAGTAGTTTGTCCACCCTTGAAGTCATCTTTATATGTGCCCACCTGTGTGCAAATTGATCATGCCCACTTATGTGAACAGGCCTTAATTCATTATAATTTCTCACTCAAGTTATGTTGGGGGGCGCGGTGGCAGAGTGGTTAGAGCATCGGACTCAGAAAAGTCACGACAATCTGAGTTCGAGGGTTCGAGTCCTGGCCGGTGCGTTGTTCCCTTAGGCAAGGAACTTCACCTCAATTGCCTGATGGTATGAATGGATGTGTGGATGTGTATAATGAAAGTCAATGGAGCGAATGAGGGAAAGAGAGATGGTGAACTCTTCAATCACCCGAAGGAAGGCAGCGAGAAACCACCTTCGTACACTCCCTTGTACAACCATGAAATTAAACATGGTCGCCATTGTCAGGCTCTGATACGGCACAGAAAAAAAGAAAAAAAAAATGCTTTGATATCCAGATGGACAACGAACAACAAAACTTGACTGATATTGTCCTTGTTCTTCTGATATCACTGTAAAAAATTATTCATTGTTCATATTCTGCATGTGCATTTTGTTAAATGATTATATTTGAAGTTGTTCCAAATTTCACACCTTTCTTTGTCACCAACTTGTGAATGAAGGATACATGATACACTCTCCATTTCTATTCTTCCTATTATTTTAATCCCTGTATTGTCAATGTTTATGTCATACTATTCCTTATATATATCTTTATAAAGAAAAAATTGTTAACTTTATAATAAAGTTTATATAAAAAAATGTTTTGATTCTTTTAGCAGAGCTTAAGAATTACCCACTAGGTTACAAGATTTACTTGTAACATGTCAACTCCCCTTTGCTGGGTTTTTGTGTGACTTATCCCTTCCTTTGTAGCTTAGTATATGTCTGGTCAAGCAGTAAGCAAATACTGGAGCATAGTTGCAGATATATTGATAAGTCTGCTGGCATGGTTGATTATGCCAAATGTTAGGCAATGGTTTATGAGGAGTGTGTGTAGCTGGTAGCTTGGGACCCCCCTCATCTCTTTCTTCTTGTTTTTTTTTTTTGGGGGGGGGGGCTTAGGAAACGAAGACTGAGGCTAAATGTATGGGATCACCCTTCCCTTGGTCCTCAGCCCTCGCCTCAACTAATTTTGCATGGTCTTTTCTTCTACTTTTCTTTCCCTTCTCTTCTTCATCTCCTTCTTCTATCCCTTACCCTAATCATTAACTCAATATTACCCTTTTTTCCCATAATACTTTATCATAATGATATATAACCTTTGATGTGTAGCACATTTATTTATTCTAACCATTAACAATTATGGAAATCTACAAACATCACCTTATTGAAACAAAAAACTTCTCTACCTGGCAGCTTTATGTGTACACCCCACCCTATCGCATTATTTTGAATATACCCCTAATGACCTTAGATGTTGATGTAGCAGAAAATTTTCAATAAATAATGATGGTAGCTTGGAAGAGGTTGCTATATTTATTTATTTACTGAAAAAATTCTGCTGCGTCATTTAAGGTCGTTAGCTGGGTATTCAAAATATAGTGATAGCATGGGGCTTGGGGGGGCACAGCCTCCAGGTAAGGAAGTGCTATATGATATCAAAGGTCATATGGCACAATGGTAAATTATAGTTGTGAAAAGGGTTAGGAATGAGTTAATGATTAGGGTAAAGTTACATGACGAACAGGATCAAAGTAACATGAAGATGAAGAAGAGTTTTGCGATCTGAGCCCCATGATATATGGGATAGAGTTTTTAAAATTTGAAGGCGGCAGAGAGCTTTTTCTTTAATGTGTAGAATATGGTCTCGCCAGGTCAGTTTGGAGTCAAAAATGACGCCTAGGATGTCAGAGGAACGGCATTGGAGTGGAGTGCCATATAAGAGTGGGGGTAGGGGACCTACACGTGAGCGAGAGAAAAGGATGGAGAAAGATTTAGAGGTAGAAAAGCGGTATGGATGTGCCAGAGGCATAGATGGTTAAATCATCAACATATAGTGATGACCAGGCTCCTGGTGGTAAAACTGAGACAATATCATTAACAGCAAGAAGGAATAAAGTGGTACTGAGCACACTGCCTTGTGGGACACCTTTGATTTGAGGAAAGAAAGATGATGTGGCAGAAGCAATTTTGACTTGAAAAGTGCGTTGGGAGAGGAAAGACTTTATGAAGACACCCATGTTTCCTCGTATGCCTAGAGAGGACAATTGTTGGAGAATATGGTACCGCCATGTCGAATCATATGCTTTTTCTAGATAAAAAAATATAGCTAGTACGGATTCATGGCGTACAAATGCGGATGTAATATATGTCTCAAAATGAGCAAGGGGGTCAGCTGTGCTTCTGGCATGGCAAAAACCAAATTGGGAAGGAGAGAGAAGATTGTGAGATTCAAGATACCACATTAAGCGGAAGTTCACCATAATATAATAGTTTGCACAAGCAGCTAGTTAATGCGATGGGGCAATAGTCTTGAGGGAGGGTACCCGATTTATTGGGTTTCAGGAAGGGAAGGATAAGAGCTTATCGCCAATTAGAAGGAAAATTTCCTGATGTCCATATGTGGTTGTAAATTGTAGTAAATACCGTCAGGGCCTTCATGAGTGTTGCGGCACGATTGTAGGGCTGCGATCAGTTCAGAGGAAGAAAATGGAGCATTATAGGACTCAGCGGAGGATGGGGTGAAGGTAATGGGGGTACGTTCTCTGGTGGTCTTGATAGTATCACATAGTTTGTGACTGAAGGTAGGTGCCATATCTAGGGGAGTTGCCCTGCAGATAGTGGGTGAACTGTTGAGGGACGTAGGCATTCTGAGTGGGACCTAGATGAAGGCGGACGAGAATGTGGTCCTTTATCCGCTCAATGAATCTTTTTACATAGAATATATGATATCCGGTAATGATAGGAAGAAAGACTGACAGGAACGAGACCACCAACAGTGCAATATGTGCGCCTACATACCTAGCCCAAAAGGGCCGGGTTTTGATAATCTTAGACCTTGTGGGCTGCCTTATAACGATATGCGTGTCATTGAGAATGAACTAGGCGCCGGTTTCAGCGATTTCAATTAAGCATTACCAAGCTCCTTCGGTGTCCTACGAAACTTTTACTTTAATTTTTTCCTCTCCATCATACTAGGGCATCCACTCGTTCCTAAATGCCCATCGTGGCTTAATGTAGTATCCCGGTAAAAATTTAGTTAGTGTAGGTGAACTACATTCTTGAGTGATACTTTCACCATTATTAAAGTTTATAGGATTTGAATAAAAATCATTCACAATAAGGTTGACAAATTTCACGGGGACTGTGGTTGTCGTGCCGTTGCTCCTATATATGAACCAGATACCATACACACCCCTGTGGTACAACCTGACTTTGCGGATGAACAGCCTGTTTTCGACCTCTTCAACGCCATGGACAGACTAGCCATCTTTATTGGTCACTTTGTATGTACACACTCACACACACACACACACACACACACACACACACACACACACACACACACACACACACACACACACACACACACACACACACACACTCACACTCACACTATGAGATTCATAGAAACATCTGCCGCTGACCTGACCCCCCAGAGAAACAGGATGCAGGCGGGCAAACCCCTGGGCAGGGCAAGGGAAATATGACCCTCAGCTGCAGAGAGAGGTCAGCCCCAGGCCCTGGAGGCACGCTGCAGGCGACCACGCCCCACGCCCACGACCACGCCCCTGGGAGGAATGACCCAGTGTCTCCAGGAACAGGCAGAACGAGTCTAGGCCTCATACAAGCAACACCTTCCCTTCTTGCCTCCCGTAGGAAGCCGACGACGCCCAATCTGCCACGTCCAAGTCTACCAATCTACATCTCCGTTACTACGTGTCTGCTTAACAATAAAGTGTGTTAACAGATACTGAGTTTTCCTCTGGACCTCCAGATAATATAGTGGATTTCTATATAATTGAATTAGAGACCATTACACACACACACACACACACACACACACACACACACACACACACACACACACACACACACACACACACACACACACACACACACACACACACACACATCACTTATAAATATACACACACACACACTCACTCTATGAGATTCATAGAAACATCTGCCGCTGACCTGACCCCCCAAAGAAACAGGATGCAGGTGGTCAAACCCCTGGGCAGGGCAAGGGAAATATGACCCTCAGCTGCAGAGAGAGGTCAGCCCCAGGCCCTGGAGGCACGCTGCAGGCGACCACGCCCCTGGGAGGAATGACCCAGTGTCTCCAGGAACAGGCAGAACGAGTCTAGGCCTCATACAAGCAACACCTTCCCTTCTTGCCTCCCGTAGGAAGCCGACGACGCCCAATCTGCCACGTCCAAGTCTACCAATCTACATCTCCGTTACTACGTGTCTGCTTAACAATAAAGTGTGTTAACAGATACTGAGTTTTCCTCTGGACCTCCAGATAATATAGTGGATTTCTATATAATTGAATTAGAGACCATTACACACACACACACACCACACACACACACACCACACACACACACACCACACACACACACAACACACACACACACACCAAAGAAACAAACACAAAGAACTAAGCCATAGTTTATTACATGGTTAATAATGGTAACATTATGATGGATTTTTCCTCTTTACAAAAGTACTCTATAAAAATATGTACAAAAGGTTCTGCCTTCGTTTAAAAAGATAATAGCCGGTAGATTTTCTTTTCTATCATTATTATTATTGCGTAGTTTAATGGGCTGTATGTAATAAAAATAAACTTTCCACTATTATGTACAACAGTTTATATCATATCCAATTGGCCCCTTGTACTTCTTGTGCAAGATGGAAATCACTTTGTTGGAATTTTGTTTCTTGTCATAACAAAGAGCATTGATAGAGAAAGCAAGCAAAATGAGAAGTGCAATTGAAGATAAATATTGGTGCATAGGAAAAAAGATGGGAGGCTGGATATTCATCAATGATTATTCTGATATAAGGTAAAGGTAAGGGTAAGGGTAAGGGTAAGGATGAGGGAGAGGGAGAGAGACTAATAATAATAATAATAATAATAATAATAATGATAATAACAATGATGATGAGGATGATAATAATAATAATAATAATAATAATAATAATAATAATAATAAAAATAATAATAATAATAATAATAAAAGTAACCTAAAATAAAGATTATATACTGAATGAATCAGAATGAAACCTGATCTCTATTCATTCCATTGCTCCTTCTCCTAGAATCATACAAGTTACAAGCACATGCATATCAAAAGTGAACTTATACCTGCATGGATGTATACACTCAACCTATACACACATGCAGAGTTCACATCTAAACATGCATAGAAGCAACTTTACTCTCCCATGAAGAAAAAAAACACTGAAAGGCCTGAAAAAAGACAAAAAAGCTGCAAATAAAACATTTTCTAAGGCCAAGCAGAATTTATATGTCTTATAGTCAGACAGAACTACTTTTTTTGTAATGAAATTCACAAGGTTATTAAGTGTTCAAATAAAAGCTGGGTGATATCATGCAAAGAACAAGAAAACGCAGAGCACGCTTCTTAAAACAAAATTTCCTTATACTAGTCATGATCTTTGGAAATCTCTGCTGAAATATCTTACTTGATTTCTTTAAAGTTAAAAATCCTAATTTCTTTAGTTTTTAGGAAATTCAAAATTAATCTACTCTTTTTTGTGTTTAGTAAAGATAAATTCAAAATTAATACACTAAAAAAACTACAAGAATTACTGTTTTTTATATTTTTTGTTCTATTCTAAATGTTCTCTCATACAAGCACCATTAAAAAAAAAAATGAATAAAAATATAACCTTTTCTATCTGCTAAAGAAAGCTATGGAGGTGTGTATATGTGTTCTTAAACATGTGCATAACAGTTTGGACATTTTATAAAATACTTCATTTGATATATAAATATACTTTCTCAAAAAGCTTCATATCTTTTAAAGTTTTTGTATAAAAAATTAAATTTTCATTTCTATAACTTCTTTGATATTACAGTACTTCTTTCAACATGAAGGAAACTGTTTTAAAAAGTAAATAATAATAAAAAAAAAAGGCATCAATATAAAATGGTTTAACCAAAGGAATATAATTCAAAGCACCCTTTTACTTTAAATATGAAAAAGAATTTATCCATGAAACCTATGATACACCTTACATAATATCACAGCAACAAAGAACTAAAACCATGTCACTCATCGATAACAATTAATCAATAATCAATAATGAATTGATAATTAATAATAATAATAAAGATAATAAATTAAGGAAAGACAGAAAGACAAAACAAACAAACTCTAGCAAGTCAAAATCTGATTACAAAGCTTCTATATAGGATACTGCTGGTAAGATGCAACATATGTGTGAGCACTAAATATATAACAATCAATTAAGTCTGAATTCTTGATGTCATAAAAAAAAACACTCTATACACTTGTAATCATCGTCAAATTAACGTTTGGAGTAAAAATTAATAAAAATACAATATAAAAACAAAAGACTGCTTTGGGTGCTTGCTTTCATCTTTAAATACACACTGAAAACAGGCTGAGAGAAAAACAAAACAAGTCGTAATGTTTTTTTTCTTTTTTATCAGAATCTCGGGTTAAATGAAAAGAATTCTACATTTCTCCGTCATGCTGATCTATCGACATAATCCCTCATAAGGAAGGTGCATACTGGCAGCTACAAAAATGAGAAAAGAATATTACTACTACAGCAACTCTTACTTCCATGAAGGCTATACACTATGGATGAGCAAAGTAGTATATATTACTATGATTGCCAAGCTGTGGTTGCTTCCACCATGATTTACGCATGTATCAAGAGGAAATATCTTTGATAAACTGGCACCTACGTGTGATTTGAATGGGGGGGGAAAAAATATATTAAAAAAATGTGTTATCAAACAATACAGGGCATTCCAAAAGAACTCTCTTTACATATATAAATATAAATACATACCAAAACTTATATACAGAGAGCTGTTTAATGGCACTTTAAACAGAAGAAAGGAAGGGAATTAAAAGAATAATGCAGCAAGTCAAAAATAAATCACCATGGTACCACAGCAATGGTTAACACAGGGAAAGATGATACAGATCTACACAAGACAAAACTTAGGCACTATGCAAGTTTTCATTACGATACGAGGCTCCTTTTAACCTCTCCATGGAGATTTTTCAATGTACTTCAACGAAGACCTTGGCTTAATATTCTGACGTGTTATTTACATATAAATAATCCATGGAAATGAAAGATACAAAAGAACTTATATCTTGTTATTATTAAATGCTTTGTTAAAACTGCTGAACACTTGATGGCACATCTTCTATTACTTTAAAGAATCCAGATGTTGTTTTGGACCTTTCAATCACAATCATATTGGCATAACTGCAAATAACAGACTAGCTGCAGTTGTTCAAGATTCGTTGTTTTAATTTCATGCTTATTTCAAAGCCTCTTTTTATTAAAGTAAAAGATAAAACAAGAAAACAATCCCTGTGTTGTAAAGTTCATGATATTATTAAGAAAAAAAAAAAAAAAGTTTACTATTCTTACTCATGAACAGGTGTATTTGGAAAAAAAAAAGAGGCACGTTTCTAAAAAAAAATATTAAGTCTGTGCACCACATCAAAAAAACAATGCTATTTCTCTCTTTCTGAAAAGAAGTATGAGCAACTCTACTTCTGCTCCACGTGATGACTACAAATGATCAAAACTTATATGCAGATGACATGTATAGCAAAAAAACAAAAAACAAAAAACAAAAACACAATTAATTACACATAGGGCGAAGAGGAACTAAAAATAATAATAATCTCATACCTGGTTACATTTTGACCTCCCCCAAAACTGTGTACACAAATAATATCACTAATTCATGAAAACATCTGGAATGAAGAATTTTCCCCAACAACAAAAAACAAAGGTAAGTGGTGGAAATTAATAACACAGACAGTAATCCAAATGCAGGTGCTGAAAACTGCAAATGCATCAACCAAGTGAAAGTCTCTATGAAAGAGTCCTTGTTAAAAGCAAGGAAGTTAAATGACATTTTTTTTTTCTTTCTCTCTAAAGATAAAACTCAGAAATCCCATTTGGATAAATATATAATGGAAGACCATTTACATGAAATGTGCTTACAAATAAGCACAACATCACTTTGTAAATTCACGGAGACAATGTTATTTACATCTCTGTACTGGAGATTATACCTTTGCTTCCTCTTCTTATTCCTTTTCTAACAATGAAATTTGAACCATATCCAACACCATGGATATCCTCTGAACAAACGCATACATATATTATGTGTTACAGAGTTTTGAAGTATAAGTCTGCAATGTTATTTTGAACACATGTGGCCGGTATATTCTAATAAATCACGTAAGAGTGGAGGGCGGGGAGGTAATTAGGGTCAAGTGTTGTAGAATGGAATCAGCTTGTTATACAAAGGCCTGGGAAGAAGAAATTTTGCTGGACTTTTTAACTCCAGATACATATATATGTACATATATAGACGAGAAAGAGAGGCAGAGGTAATGATAATAATAAAAAAAAGAAATCACGAAGGAAGACAATATAAATACAAAGCCAAATCAATACCAAAAGTAATCTACAATCTTAAAATTTCTTTAAAGGGATGAGAAAATTTTCAAAGTGATTGCCTCTTGATAAAAAAAAAGTCAGTCTCACTGACAAATCCATCAAACTTTTAATCATAAGATGTAATGCATTATTTTCCTTTCTTTTTTGACATCTCACAGGTACAAGAGGAATGCAATGATTTATGTACAATTCACACCGTTATCGAATAAAAAATAAAAATAAGATGTAAAAAATCTTCGGACGCAAGACAGACACAGAAACAAATCAAGGCACAAGCTTAATGCATCAGTACAAAGGCCTGAATATTGCAGCTTCAACGGTATCACAAATTGTTTTCATTATTTCATTCCGTAGTGCAACATCACGACAAACTCTTACAACATACGTTAGTTGAGAGAGAAAGAGAAGTGGGGGGAAAAAAGTTACAAAATAAAAGATAGTCAAGAAAAAGCTCTTGAGGTTCCTCTACACAAACAGAAAGCATGGAACAGTAAAGGACCCTTCTCTTATTCACACAAAGAAAAGAGAAGAACGAGAAAGAAAGAGAAGGAAGAAAGGAAAAGGTCAAAGCATGGTAGTATCACAAGAAACGTTGCATCACCATGTACAAGGATGTGTGCATGTGTGTATATTCAGACACAAACACATATATATACACAAGCACATGCACAGATTACGCACATGGGTATTTGCAACGAGAGGATACCAACATAAAATTATCATGTTATAACACTACTTCAGAAATCAAGAATTATAGTGTACGCCCACAGGGTGTATTAAAAAGAATCACTCTTTACATGTTTGCACAGAAAGAGCCTGTCATATCTACGGTAAAGAAAGACGCAGTAAGAACAAAAAAAAAAAAAGAGAAAAAAAGAAAGTTAGAGAGAAATACAGCAAATAACATTAATAAATCAATGGGCACCAAGTTCACCTGGGACAGAATGGGGTTATTCCATAAAATTGGATCCCCTTGTTGGTTATACATAAGAATAACAACCCTTCATTTTTTTTTGCTCCATTTCTTTTCCTTGTTATCTGTTGATGATTTTGGCATTCTATTTAAAAGTTGTGATATGAATGGAAGATGACATTTTTTTTATATATATATGCATGTGTATATGTATAAGTATACATTATAATAATAAAAAATAAATCAATAAAAAAAAAAAAAATAATAAAAACATTAACAATACTAAAAAAATCATATCAATAATAATATTAACAGTAATCATGACAGTAATAAAAACATAAATAATAAAACAATCAAATATGCCACTGATCTATATAGGAATTCCTGAACTTAACCAAGTAAGCCCTAAACTATCAATAAAACCATCTATCTACTTTAATGCATTCACTGAAAGTCCAGTAATCTTCTCTATTAAATAGATCTATAAACTTTTTACTGGCAGTACTTCCCACTGAACTAACTATACAAATATTAATATCTTTAAAATATATAATTTTCTCTAATCTATACATATGGGAAAGAAAGAATAATATCATGGTAATAATCTTATGAAAAAAAAAAAAAGATGATGCTGATAACTACAATAAATATCAGCAGTAACAATAATAATAATAATAATAATAATAATAATAATAATAATAAAAATAAAGAAATTATGATTATTGGGATAATATCAACAGATATAAATGCGGAGACACACATCGCACTCATTGTCTCTTGCAGGACTCCTCTTCTTCCTCTTTCTCTTCTTTTTTTTTTTTTACAATTCACGGAGTCTCTGCAGCAATGCATCAGAGGAATCCCCATTCACGGCATTCTGCTGTTGGTTGAAGCTCCTGTCACGCGACTCTAGGCCCGTCGGGAGTCCCGGCCGCCGCGTGCGAGGCCGAGAAGACCGAGCTGGCTGGTTTTCCACGTCCACATCGATGGTGTCCGTCCTGCAGTGGTGATAAAGATGCTGATGATAACGTCAAAAGTAACATTGAATAAGACTATTTCAACATCTTGTAATTAATACTATCAACCAGTAATCAAAGTATTATTTAGAATAATGAAACACTGAATAAAGAAATAATAAAAAAACAGAATTCTTTTCTATCTTTTCTTCTATTCCGTATTAGCATCACCCTCAGCATCTAGCCCCCCACAAACACCACCCGCACCTACCTGGCCACTGACCCATCACCCACGAATACACAACTCCACGAAGCTCCACTCACACCCACAAGTTCACCCTACTGTAAAGCACTACAACCCCCCCCCCCCCCACACACACACACTGCAGACCGATCCCACACAAACCTCCACAACTCCCACCATAGACCCACCCATCCACAGACCCATCCACCACCCACACCCACACACATAAAACACCTAATCACCATCCACTCCCACACAATGCTACTCACAGTTTAATCTCTCTGTTGCTAGTTGGCGACTGTGCGGCCAAACCGGAACGCGACCGGCTCCGATTCAGCTGGGCCCTTCTCTCGGCTGTCAGGCAATGACAAGGTGTGAGAATGGGGCAAAATCTAAGGTACAAGTGACGGTAAATGTAAATTTGATTCATTATTCTTCAAACAGAATAGCTTAAATATATATATATATATCATGATGTATATTTTCTAATGAGAAAGTCCAATCTAAATGTACCATCTAATATAAATGCACTGTACAATGACTTCAGAGGATTACAGGTAAAATTTAAATGATAAAATGTTAACAGCAATGATCATCCAAAAAAAAGACTACTCCTTTATCAATATTACTATTAATAAAATATCATCAAACCTGGCATTTTTATCATTATTCCACCAACATTTACTCTTCATCACTTAAATAAATCTAAAACAGTCATTACTATTAACATCAATATCACAATACATAAAAAATAAGGTAATTTAATGTTATGTTATACATCCAAGACAACCAAGTTGACACAATTCATGTTAGTGCACTCAAAACGTAAAATGTTTATTTACAGACATTAATCTTTAATTTATTGGTTATCTGAGAACACATGAGAGAAATTCATGAAAACATAACAATAATCACATTATACTAATAGTCATAAAATAATAACAACAATAATAATAAATAATAACAAAAACAATTACCATAATAACAAAAAGGATAATAACAATGATAACGAAGATGATGGTAATAAAAATAATAATGATAGTGATAACAATAAAAGGTGACACCATCTATCTAAAGTGCAATGGTGCTTCAATTGAACAACAAGAAGAGAGTGAACAAGCATGTGGGTTATTGAAACACTCATTACATGCTAGAAAAAATATATAAATAACTATATAAGTAAAAAATAAAAAATAAAACAATTATTAAGACCATCACTTAGATATGACAGTCAATCCTCATTGTCAGTATCTCTGTAAACCCATTTTAGATAATTAAAGAAAAAGAAAGAAAGAAAGAAAGAGAGAGAGAGAGAGAGAGAGAG